CAGTTTTCCATAGTCACTTGACCGGTATGTCTTCGTATAACACAGCTGGAATACCAAGCATGCTTTCACTCATGATACATCTACTGTAGGAGGACGACAGTTTTCCATAGTCACTTGACCGGTATGTCTTCGTATAACACAGCTGGAATACCAAGCATGCTTTCACTCATGATACATCTACTGGACGACAGTTTTCCATAGCCACTTGACCGGTATGTCTTTGTATAACACAGCTGGAATACCAAGCATGCTTTCACTCATGATACATCTACTGTAGGAGGACGACAGTTTTCCATAGTCACTTGACCGGTATGTCTTTGTATAACACAGCTGGAATACCAAGCATGCTTTCACTCGTGATACATCTACTGTAGGAGGACGACAGTTTTCCATATTCACTTGACCGGTATGTCTTCGTATAACACAGCTGGAATACCCATATCAATCTACAACTGTTTCTTATACCAATTTGTAGCAGAAACGACTTATTCTTCCATAAGGAGATCATTCAGAGCCGTCGAAACAGCCTATCTCATTTTGCCAGTTCCTTTCTACACCCCTGTCCTTCTAAATTTTGCCAGTTCCTTTCTACACCCCTGTCCTTCTACATTTTGCCAGTTCCTTTCTACACCCCTGTCCTTCTACATTTTGCCAGTTCCTTTCTACACCCCTGTCCTTCTACATTTTGCCAGTTCCTTTCTACACCCCCTGTCCTTCTACATTTTGCCAGTTCCTTTCTACACCCCCTGTCCTTCTACATTTTGTTTCCTGGAGCATGTAGACAGGTTGAGAGGAAATTATTTTCACAATTTAGATTTAGGTAAATCATCATGTATGTTATAAAAAAGTAAGTCAAAGTACAAAACCCTGAGGAACACCATACTTAATCATATTCTTATCATTAAAGGTATTTCATATATATGAATATATATATATATGACTTAACACATTCAATCCCTAGAATTTACATTTTATCTAACAATATATGATGTGATAATGTATCAAATCTCAAAATCAAAAACGGATTCAGTTGTTTTTATCATTAAATAACGAAAAAAATTGATACAGACCATGAGTACCATGGATCAAAAGGAAGTAAAAAGATACAGACTGTGAGTACCATGGAACAACAAGAAGTAGAAAGATACAAACTGTTAGTACCATGGAACAACAGGAAGTAGAAAGATACAAACTGTTAGTACCATGGAACAACAGGAAGGAGAAAGATACAAACTGTTAGTACCATGGAACAACAGGAAGGAGAAAGATACAAACTATTAGTACCATGGAACAACAGGAAGGAGAAAGATACAAATTGTTAGTACCATGGAACAACAGGAAGGAGAAAGATACAAACTGTTAGTACCATGGAACAACAGGAAGGAGAAAGATACAAACTGTGAGTACCATGAAACAACAGGAAGTAGAAAGATACAAACTGTTAGTACCATGAAACAACAGGAAGGAGAAAGATACAAACTGTTAGTACCATGGAACAACAGGAAGTAGAAAGATACAAACTGTGAGTAGAATGGAACAACAGGAAGGAGAAAGATACAAACTGTGAGTAGAATGGAACAACAGGAAGGAGAAAGATACAGACTGTGAGTACCATGGAACAACAGGAAGGAGAAAGATACAAACTGTTAGTACCATGGAACAACAGGAAGGAGAAAGATACAAACTGTGAGTACCATGAAACAACAGGAAGTAGAAAGATACAAACTGTTAGTACCATGGAACAACAGGAAGGAGAAAGATACAGACTGTGAGTACCATGTAACAACAGGAAGGAGAAAGATACAAACTGTGAGTAAAATGGAACAACAGGAAGGAGAAAGATACAGACTGTGAGTACCATGGAACAACAGGAAGGAGAAAGATACAGACTGTTAGTACCATGGAACAACAGGAAGGAGAAAGATACAAACTGTGAGTAAAATGGAACAGCAGGAAGGAGAAGTATACAAACTCTAAGTTATAAGTAGCTGAAACAGCTGAAGAAGAAGGGAAGTTTATCTGACTCTATATCAAATACTATTAGCCAAATAAGCCATCTAAAATAAGAGGTTATCAAGTACTATTAGCCAAATAAGCCATCTAAAATAAGAGGTTATCAAATATTATTAATCAAATAAGCCATCTAAAATAACAGGTGTCAAATAATTTTTAGCATAACAGAAAAAGTCATACATGTTAATGATGTAACATTTCTTTCAGGTTTACAAAACCTAGAGCTGAGTGGGTTATTAGGTTTTCTTATATTTCAACATTTTTATTTTGATGCACTTTTTAAACAGCATGAGCATACAAAATATTCTTCCAGTGATTCAGAGGTATGGCTGGTATAACACAACTGTATATCTGACCATGTATAGCACATATATCTGATGTGGTATATCATAACTGTGTAAGATTTATATCTGACCTGGTATAGCACAACTATATGATACATATATCTAACCTACTATATCACAACTGTGTAAGATATACACCTGATCTGGTATAGCACAACTGGGTAAGTCATTTACCTGATCTGGTATAGCACAATTGTGCAAGACATATATCTGATCTAGTATATCACAACTGTGTAAAACATATATCTGACTTGGTATATCAGAACTGTATATCTGACCTGGTATTGCACAACTGTATATCTGACCTGGTATTGTACAACTGTATATATATATATATATATGACCTGTTATGTCACTACTGTACATCTACCTTGGTATATCAATACTTTATATATCTGACCTGTTATGTCACTACTGTACATCTACCTTGGTATATCAATACTCTATATCTGATCTGTTATATCACAACTGTACATCTACCTTGGTATATCAATACTATATATCTGACCTGTTATATCACTACTGTACATTTACCTTGGTATATCAATACTCTATATCTGATCTGTTATATCACAACTGTACATCTACCTTGGTATATCAATACTCTATATCTGACCTGTTTATCACAACTGTACATCTACCTTGGTATATCAATACTCTATATCTGATCTGTTATGTCACAACTGTACATCTACCTTGGTATATCAATACTCTATATCTGACCTGTTATATCACAACTGTACATCTACCTTGGTATATCAATACTCTATATCTGATCTGTTATGTCACAACTGTACATCTACCTTGGTATATCAATACTCTGTATCTGATCTGTTATATCACTACTGTACATCTACCTTGGTATATCAATACTCTATATCTGACCTATTATATCACAACTATGTATCTGATCTGGTATACACAACTATGTATCTGACCTAATATATTTATTCAGATAATATAGCTCCCAGGGCCAACTGTGAACCTGAACTACAGGTGGTTGAATTACCCAAACCCAGTGATTCTCTGACAGTCATTTGGCCATCTTGTATTCGAATCAATAGATGTGGAGGTTGTTGTTCTAGCTCATTACTTCAGTGTGTTCCAAAAAGAACCAGTACAGTACATTTGAAGGTTGGTTCTGAGAATAGCTATTAGTGTCTTTCACAAGAAGGAAAAACATACTAGAATTTGATGAAACTATAAAAACATACTAGAATTTGATGAAACTATAAAAACATACTAGAATTTGATGAAACTAAAAACATACTAGAAGTTATCAAATTCTAGTATGTTTTTATAGTTTCATCAAATTCTAGTATGTTTTTATAGTTTCATCAAATTCTAGTATGTTTTTATAGTTTCATCAAATTCTAGTATGTTTTTATAGTTTCATCGAAACTATAAAAACATATTAGAATTTGATGAAACTATAAAAACATATTAGAATTTGATGAAACTATAAAAACATACTAGAATTTGATGAAACTATAAAAGTACTAGAATTTTATGAAACTATAAAAACATACTAGAATTTGATGAAACTATAAAAACATATTAGAATTTGACGAAACTATAAAAACATACTAGAATTTGATGAAACTATAAAAACGTACTAGAATTTGATGAAACTATAAAAACGTACTAGAATTTGATGAAACTATAAAAACGTACTAGAATTTGATGAAACTATAAAAA